GCCCTGACTTAGTGTTAGGAAAATAGGTTTACACCATCTGTGGTCCAATTATCTTGTTTTTGCAGGGCATTTCATAGCACTGGCTTCACCAGGATTATCAGAGGTTTACTTTCTTCCACTAATATGGGCAGATGGCCCTGAAGAAGGGTCAGAAATCGCTATCAGCCACAAGCACAGCCTATCTGGAAAGAATACATAGGGGGAAAACGATGTATTTTTATTTTTAAAAATGAGCTGGGAGCTGTTTCTTAGATAACTGTGAGTTCTTCCCAAGAAAAATCTAGTAAATGTCCAGGCCCCAAGAGTCAAACTCTGCATGAGGGCTGGAGAGAAAGGATTCGGGTCCCATGCCCTCACCCAACAACCTGGCTTGTGTGGTGCCAACACTAGTTTTTTCCGCTTCCCAGAAGATGCTGGAAGCATGGGTGATGCCTTATGATCACAGATCGTGGAGGCCAACAGATGTATCCAAGAAGCAGAGGAGGCCCACAGACTGTGGGGTCTGGCCTCTTGACACTAGTGCCCCTGCCATCACTCACCAGCTGTGCACCCCTGGGTAGGTCACTTCACCTCCCTGGACCCACTTGTGTCACGTATAACCAGTGGTTAATAGTACTACCTGCTTAATAGGCTGTGGACAAGAGGAAACAGGACCAAGTTTAGTGTTGGCAGCTGGACCTGGTCCATGATGAGTCTTCAGAATATGTTAGTGAGTTTCCAGGGAGCTCTTCTGTCCCAGAGCCATCCTAAATCTCTGCCAAGTCCCTCCTCAAGGGCTTAATTAGTTCATGAACACTACTGAGGACAGGGAAGTCACTGCCTCTTAACACCCATTCACCTTGAGGTAAGTCTGTTTCTTAGAAAACTTTCATTTGAGTTGAGCCTAAATCTTTCCTGGATTCTTTCCTTGTTGGTTTTAGTTCTACCCCTAGGTCATACAGAAATCATATTCCTCAAAATAGCAGTTCAAATCATGTGAAAATCATTAGCATGAGTATCCCTGCTTATATTCTTTTCTCATGCCACAGATCTTGTGTTTTCCTGACGAAACATCTTCAGTGTCTTCTAGTGGCCTTTGAATGATGTGGTTTCCAACCCCTTCATCACTGTGGTTTCTGTCTTCCCAAAGCACCCTGTGCTCACATGTGTGAGATGGTGCCACGTGTGTTAAATCTGAGTACGTGTGCAAAGACAAAAAGCTGATGAGACCCAAGGAGCTCCCAGGCATCAGAGAGCTTTCTAGATAGGGAGTCCACTGCACTGAGTGGCAGAAGCAGGGAGACAAAAATAGTCAGCTCATTGCTGGACTAGAAGGTGCAAACTGGGAATCGTAGGAGATCAAACCAGGGAGATGAGTTTGACCTGAAGGCAATAGGGAATCACTGGAGGACTTGCAGAAGTGACAGCTTTCCATGTGTCCTTTAGTAAGAAAAACCTAACTGTAGCATGAAGACCAGGCAAACCTGAAAGTGGGGAGGCCAGTTCACCAAATGGCAGAAACCAGAAGGGGGGGGGTGAATCATGTACCAAAATTTCCAAAATATATACCAGGAGGCTAACAGTGTCTCTGGGCAGTGAGACAGTGAGTGATTGCCATTTGCTTTTTGCTTCCCTGTATTTTCTAGCTTCTCTTTAATAAAGATTTTCTATTTCTCTCTATAATTAGCATGTATTATTTATATAGTAAAATAATTTATGCATATCTAAAGATAGTTCAGAATCAAGCCAGCAGGACTTGGAAACTGCTTGGAAAGAGGAGCATGAGAAATCTGTTTATTTGCCCTGGTTCTCAGGTGGGTGGTGCAACCACCAAAGGAGTTGGGGGTGTGAGGAACAGGACACTGTATGGGAATTCTGATAGCATAGCTGAGGGCTGAGGTAAAGCCCACGGGCTGCTTTGACTTTAATTTGGTCTCTTCATAGCCTGCATGTTGCCTGTCTCCTACCCTGAAGGACCTAGAGCTCACTTGTCCATTCTCCACTGGCCTGGAAATTAGACTCTACTACAGGAAAGCCCACTAGTGCTCTGCAGTAGCGATAGCATTGATTAAGTGACGTGTTCATCACTGTTTCAGAAAACACTTCCTGAGTGCCTTTAAGATGCTCTGCATCCAGCCAGTCCTCAATGTAACACAGGAAAAAGCAGGCCCTCTGCCTGTCTTCCCAAAACTCAGACTCGTGCAAGAGACAGAGGAAATGTTTCAGGGTCACTTTAATAAAAGACACCATTTGAAGCCAAGATAAATGCACAAAGGAGAGGAAGGAGTTCTAGGAAGATGTATAGCCAAGGAAACGTTTCTGGCCTGGAAGATTAGAGAAGGATGTCAGGGAAGAGGGATGCAGGACCGGACTAAAGGAGTGGAGGAAGGGCTGACCACGGGGCTGCCTCCTGAGAGATACACTGCGGCTGATTTCGTCATCACGCACACAGCCTGGAATGCACATGCACAAACCTAAATTGCATGGGTCAGTCACTTAATGTGGCCTCTCAGTGAAGCCAAGAGCTGGGAGCCCAGGTTGCAGGAAAGAGGCTACCACCGACATCATATGGCAGACAGTTTTATAAGCAAGAGCACACTCTAAAATAATGATAAATGTATAATAAATACATAAACCAGTCACATGGTCAGTCGTGATTATTGAGTACTACATGCTATCCATAATTGTGCACAGTGCTGTAGTCTCCTGTAACTGGCAGTGTAGGTGTGTTTACACAGTATCACCACAAACATGTGAGTCATGCCCTGTGCAACGATGTCATGACATCTGCAGTGTCACTAGACATTAGGCATTTTTCAGCTCCATGTGGGACCACTGTATCCATGTAACCCATCATCATACCGGAAATGCTGCTCTGTGTCCATGACTGTATAGCATATTTGAGTATTCAAAGGGGGCTGTTTGCCTGGAACCCGGGGAGAGGGTCAGAGATGCAAGCGAGTGGAGAGGTGAAAGGCGCTCTGGGGAGGTACGGAAGGGTCCTTTGTTTAAGGGTTTTGGAGGCCTGAGGTGGTCTTCTGACCAGCCCCACTGGTTTCAGCCTGGAGCAGAGCTCCTTATCCTCCTTATCCATGACTCCTGGTCTGCCCCAACCTGTCTCTTGCCCTTTGAGGCTGCAGCACTGAAGGCTTACCAGGACCCCTCACTCATGGATGGCTCATATGCAGATGTGGGGTTTCCCTGCCCCTCCTCTGAGGAGCTCCCCCCACAGCCACCTCAGAAAGTTGCTTTGCAGCCCAACTTCCTTCATGGTTTCTCATTCTTTAACAATAATGTGTGTACAACTTGTTAATTAATGAAATCATTTGGATCTGAAAACATCTTGTTCTAATGGGAGGCGGCAAAACACTCATTAATTCACAGGTAAATTATTCCAGCGCGCCTCTCTCTCTCTCTCTCTCTCTCTCTCTCTCTCTCTCTCTCTCTCTCTCTCTTTCACTTTTTTCCCAGCTTGGCTTAATAGCTGGAGAGAATTCTAATCAGCCTTTTGCAAATCATCCCACCAGGACACAGGGCACTGAGGACTGCCTTGTGGTCAGAGTGAGGTTGATGTGGCCTTGATTTACCCAGAAGAGAGGGCAAAGGATAAATGCAAAGATGGGGTTTTGCTCCCTGAGGGGTGGAAGGGCCTCCATGGCTTGGAGGTGAGAACATGGGTAAGTGGGGAAGTTAGGAAAAGTCACCAAAAGTGATAAGTGTGTGGCACTGAGAGGTGGGTGTCCTCTTGCGTTTATCCCAAAAGTAGCCCATGAGATGATTTCTGCACACCTTGCCTAGGTGGAAGGAAAGAAGAGCTGCCTGCCCCTCCCCTTCCTCCTAGCCACCTTCCTGCTATTCGCAAATGAAGCCCCACAACACCCTCTTTGAAGGAGGAGCATTTTTGGTGCCCTTTATGGCACCCTTCTCCTCACTAGACAACAGTACAAACCTCTGGGTAAACTGACAAGACCATTTCTCCACGGAGCCGTTCATTTCATTCTTCTTTTCCTTTGATGGGATCTGGATCTTTTTAGAAAAGCAATGTTTTTATCACGGTAGAACTTTTCTGGCAATGTTCCTGATTTTAAACATCTTTGTGTGTATGATTCAGTAACACTGATCTGTTCATACTGTGCCCTCATCACCATTGTGCAACTCCAGACCATCATCTTCCCCGATGGAAGGGCCATGCCAATTGAACAGGAAGTCCCTTTCTGCATGGCTTTTGAATGGAAAGTGTAATGTGCCTGGTAGGACTCTGGGGCGAGGAGCAATCCACTCAGTCCCTAGCAGAGCTTTTAGAGTTCTTTCCTCACCCAGACTAAGAAGGTTGCAACGCCCAGCTCTATCCTGGTAGAGTGTCAGCTTCAGCACCACAAGCCTCACACTCCTGGATTCCTGTCACCTAGGCCAGGGCTGTTTTATGGCAGCCGGATGAGCCACAGGCTCTAGCACTCTGAAGAGACAAGTGTCTGCATGGCCACTCATCAGAGTGAGTCCTGACCTTACTGAACTCTGCTGTGGAGCACACTCTGTCTATGTTGCCTCTAAAATGGGAGACTAAAAAGTTTGATAGTAGCCAAGTGTGGTGGCACATGCCTGTGATCCCAGCACTCGGAAGACTGAGGCAGGAGGATCACCCTGAGTTCGAGGGCAACCTAACTACTAAGTCAATAAACCAATACTGTCTCGATAAATCAAAAAAAAGAAAGAAAGAAACTGATAGTTATTGATGAAGACAGCACATTCTTCCCTTTGGAAGTACAGCACCTGTCAGACAGTTTCTTCAGAGCTGTCTCCGAGGCGGCTTTCAAGTGAAGCCAGCCTGGATTTCGATCCCCGCTGTGTCACCCACTGACTGTATCACCTTGAGCCTCTTTTTCTTCATCTAAAACTAGGGCACTTGATACCCGTGCCTAGGTTGCTAAGAAAGGTAAGTGAGATTATATCAGTGTGGCTTCCAGGGAAGCACCAGGCCAGGAAGTTCTCACAGCTGTGCCTGTTGGTGGTTGTCACCCTAGGTCTCCAGGTTGTCCTGAACTCCATTATCAAGGCCATGGTGCCCCTGCTGCACATTGCCCTGCTCGTGCTGTTTGTCATCATCATCTATGCGATCATCGGCCTGGAGCTCTTCATGGGGAAGATGCATAAGACGTGCTACAACCAGGAGGGCATCACAGGTAAGAGGCGGGCTCCGGGTACCACACTCCCCAGAGCCTGCTTGTTTTCTGTAGTGGTTTCCCCTGTGGCTGGATGTACTGCTAAGCACATGGCCACTTGTCCAGCAGAGCCGGGTGAGGCCCTTCATCAAAAGGCCCACCTTTCCAGGCCATGGCTGAGTGAGAGGCAGGCACAGTGTTCTTTTCCTCTCATTCCAGCTTCTGTTTTCATTAAAATACGTCTTAATGAAAGATGCCAAATACTGGCTTTGTCCAGCACTACTGACCAGTACAGAGATACACAATTCAGAAACATTTAGTGAATTAGGAACCTGTCTTTCCTCGGGCTCTCACTTCTGGAGCTGACCCTGAATATCAGAAGATTCAAACCTAGTGGTGTGTGTGACATACATCATGGTGGCTCACTTCCAGAAAGGCATCCCCTTGACGGCCCTGGGTCTGTCCCCTTGTTGGGGATGATCCTGGCTTCTCTGCAATTAAAGTTTCCTTCTCCATTCATAGGCAGGAGCCCTGGGCCCCTTCCTATGGTAGATGAAAGGGCAAGTGTAGAATCACCCCCTTTACCGATGGACAAATTTCTCCTCAAGGAAAAGGTGTAGATCCATCTCACAGCTATCGGTCCCCTCTCCCCCAGGACTCCTGTCATTAAGTTTCTTCAGCAAGTTAGTGCATTCTCCAAGAGATGCTGGCTCATTAAGCGCCTCTGTGAGTGGACCAGAGTTGGGCTTGCAGGATCTATGCTACAAACTGCTGTTTTAAGTTACTAACACTTCAGCTTGATCTTTAAACAAAACCATTTAAACAGAGATTGACAGGCTTTTAAACAAGCATAGAAAACAGTTTAACATAAAATACAAAAACTTTTTGGGGGAATAAATTCCTCACCCAAAAGGATTAGTAGTTTATATTCTTCTTTTTCCAAACAAGACCTGTCATCTTAGTTTTGGGCGTTTTGGTGGAGCAGTTGGAGGGCATCTGTCTAAAGAACACCTCTCCCCTCTTCATTTCTACTGCCTTGTATTCTCATTCAGCCCAGGCATTAAATTAAATTAAACTTGACTTCTCTTGCGCTGGGGAGTGAGGTTGGAAACCATCTGTACAGCAAAGAGTGAAATGGATAATTCACATTCAGAAACCAAAGCAGGCCCGCTGCTATGCACAGGTTGGTTACCTGCAAAGTCGCTGGGTCAGTGCTGCAGAGTCATAGTCCTAAAAACAACCTATAAACGTATAGTCAGAGAATCACTCAGTTCTTTTTATTTTTTACAGTTTTTTTTTTAAAGAGGACACTATGCACTCTCAAGAGAATTTCCAAATTACTTGGGCCATAGTTGTATAGCATAAATTACCATGTTTTAAAATATATTTTAATTGAGAAAAAAAGTTCTTGTCTTCATCTAAAATTCTGAGGTTTCAACCTTGCTTAAAGAAATGCCAAGCAATATAATAATATCTCTAACTCAAAACCTTCTCCGTAGTCAGTATCTAGTCCTGACCCTTAAATTTATGTTAATGATATAACTGTTAACATTTCATTCTCAGACTGCCTCAAGAGTTGATAGTAGTGTATATAAAGTTTATGCAGTTGTATTGAAATGATCAGTGATCCATTTGACTCAAACTCCTCAGGCAGTCACAGAGATGCAGAATCCTTAAGATTTCCTTTCAGTTTGTCAGTGACAGATGGTGAGACCCTCACCACTCAAACAAGGAAGAACAAACAGTGAAGTTCCACCACAGAGCCAAAGACGGTAACCCTCCCATCAAATGGATCTGCACTATCCAGCCAAGGAGAACTGCTGGTCTTTTCTATTCTCCTAGTGGGAAAATAGCAAAAGTGTGTTTTTCTACTGGTGATGAGGATCCTGCAAGCATTCCAAAAATAAGCAGCCCTGAATAATCATTAGAAACCATCTGGCTTTGTAACTAAGCCTCAGTGGTCTCAGAAAGCAAGAACATAGTGGGAATCACAGACAAAGCAAAAAACATGGACTCTTCTCCCATAGACACAGCCGGAAGGTCCAGTGAACACTTTAATAGACTCCTCTGCTCTTACCAATTTGGGATCATATTATCCTGAATAGTAAACCCAGTCAAGAGAAGTCCACTTGCTATCATAAGATGCATCTGATTATTTGTGTGGTGGATTTTGTCTTTATCCTACATATTCAGCAGAGAAGTGGGTGCCTGTAGTATAAATGACCATGAACTGGGGTGTTGGAGGACAATAAGAAATGTATCCACAGGAGAGGATCCATGCCAGCCTCCACCAAGAAGGTAACCTCGCTGTTGTGTGTGGAGCCAGAGCCTCTGCCGGGCCCGGGGGTGAAGACACTTAGCTACAGAAGCTGTCCTCTCAAACACTCTCTCACCAGCTCACCCACCTCCTCCTTCCTACAACTGTTGTCAATCCAGGACCCACTTCATCACTCCCAACAGAGAATGATGCTGCTGTCATCAGGGCCTTGTCCACCCACACTGTGACTAACCTCGATGAGGAGCAAGAGATGTGCAGGAATCTGGACATGCTTGATACATCTGTAGCACAGATGACCAAAATCTGTGCTCTTCGGAACCGTCCCAGTGTATTTCAGTTTTATAAACCTTTAGAATAGATGTTTTTGTTTTCAGGTTCTGTTTGGTTTTAGATTTCAGACTTTGGGCTAAATGACTGTATTCTGTGCATATTTAAACTCTACAGAAGTACTTTGTGTGTCCTTGTGATCATTTTTAATAGGATTCATGTCAGATTATCTTTACCCTTTGATATTATTTCAGTCTGATTTTCATGAACTTCTAGATTTCAGAATACAATGGCTTTTTGCACCACATTTTCTGTAAAAATCCATCTGAAACAATCATGAGTCGGCCAGGTGAGCCATTGTTCTGTCTCTGGGCAGTCCTTCCAGTGGGCCCCAGCGGAGACCGTCTCTGAAGAGGCGATTTTCCCTTTCTCCCTGGGGCACAGCCAAGGCACTCTTTCGGTTCTCAACAGATACAGCGCCATATGCCGATACCTTTTGTTTCTGGTTGTCCCATCTGTCTGCTGGTTCTCAGAGCCAGATCACTCTGCATAGCTCTCCCAAGCACACTAATTACCCCTGAGACCAGCAGAGACGGGCTGGCTAAGATCTAGCAATGAAATCACCTTCACTGTATTCACTCCGGAAAGTTGAGACCTAAAACAGTGATTGATTTTGTCTTTGGCAGTTTCTCCTTGAACCCCCCACCCAGAGCTCTCCAGGATTTCGGTTCTTGCTGATACCGACTGCACTGTGGTTGGACATCTCTCCTAAGCTTTGCCTCCAATATTTTACAAAAAACGTAATTTGGATTTTCTAGATTGACTCTGCCTCTGACTCTCTAGATTTCTAGGTTAAATTGTGGAGCCTACATTGCTCATGGCCTACACTTCTCCTTCAGACATTAGGAATCAGCAAAAGAACAAAAAGCCAGCATGTTCTCACGTTTAAGCCGGCTTCCCCTCACCCTAAAGTCCATATTGCCCGGACCCACTGATTTATGTGTGTCCACATTTCTCAAGTGTTCCCGTCAGTACTTTTTATAGACACCTATTTTTACCAGATCATTGCTGCCTCTTAATTATTCTCCAATCTTTCTTACTGTTATTTACGACAGATTTAAAAGAGCAGAGCGGCACTTGAGCTTATAGGTAATCTTTCTGAGTCGTGTCCCTTTTTCTCTTATTAATGAGATGGCTTTTCCTTGATGCTGTTTTCTTTTAAACACACATTTTTGAAACCCCAAGCGTGTTTCCCTTCCTGTGGCCACTTGGAATGCACTCTGGCAGCCTGCCCTCTTATGGATCTCTGCTGTCTTCAGCGCCGAGGCCACAGGAGGCCGTCGGGTTAGCCGTCACCATGTGAGGATTAGCGGCATCTTGATGCCACGGAGAAGCAAAACATGAAGAAAAACTGCAAGTCTCCCTGCTTTTTCCGACCCATTTCTCATGTCATCCCAGCACCTCATCCCAGGGCCAAACACATCACTCTAGAATGCTATTTCTGGAATGAGTGATAACCAAACAGAATTTATGATCTCTTTGGGTCTCAGTTTTTTAGTCTCTCAACTCTCAACCCTTTAGATGCTCTGCTGTTTTTAATGTTTTATTTATGTTTGGGATTGACTTTTTTAGTTCCTCTCTTTTTTTTGATAGCCTCGTATCCAAATCTCAAAATTTCACAGTTTGAAAAGTCACAAAAAATTATGACTAAAGGCCAACTCAGTTCGGCTGCCTTCACATAGAGCCTTGTGGTGTCTGGAATCAGGAGATGGTGATAGGGACACTGTCATTCCCTCAAAAAGCTCACAGATCAGTAATGCAAATGTCTCACCTTGTTCATCAAACAAAGGACTCACATACAACCAGACCAAGAGTACGTCGGGAGCAGCCCAAGCTGGAAATAGTCCAGTGGCCATCAACTGGTGAATGGATAGACATAGTGATGAAATAGCTTGCTCCACAGGAAGAAGGAACAAGAGGAGACTAAAGTGTGCAACAACCTGGATGACTAGAAAAGATTCCATGAAGTGAAGAAGAGGGAGGTGAAAAGCCACACAGTGCATGATTTTTGATATGAAATTCTGAGAAACAAAGCAATGAAAACAGAAAGCAGATCAGGTTGTTAGAGGCTAGGGACAGGTGCAAGGGCCAACTGCAAACAAGCGCATGGGAATGGGGGGACTGTTTAAAAATGGGGGGATCGCAGAGGGCCAGGGATACAGTTCAGTGGCACAAGCACCTGCCTGACAAGAGCGAGGTTGTGAGTTCGATCCTTGGTACCAAAAAAAAAAAGGATTGTGTTGATGGTTGCACAACTGTGTAAACTTACTGAAAATAACTGAGCCATACATTTACATTGATGAATTCTAAGACATGTAAATTATATTTCAATGAAGCTGCATGAGGGAGAGAACAGGTGAGGGGAGGAGAGAAAGGAGAAGAAGAGAGAAGGTGTGACTCTCGTTTTCTACAAGTTTCTACTTGAAATTGTTATATGGTTATTTTTTGATTGGCCACTTGACTGTGATGCTGATGCTTTACAAAAGAATGGCACTCACTCTAGGTCATAGTTGAAGGTACCAGACTTCTCAACTGATGACTGCCTAAGCCCTGATGTTGTTTAACGCATATGTGGGGAATGAGCTAAACTTGTTTTGCACATGATTGCTGGCGTGGTTTTCCCAGTGATCTTGTCTTGTCACTTTTCTCTCTAATTCTTGCTTCTTTCTCTGCCCATCTCTTCCCCTCCCTCCCTTCTGCTTCCCTGTCCTCTTTGTCCTGGCCATGGAGATGTCCCAGCAGAAGAGGACCCCTCCCCCTGTGCTCTTGAGAGCGGCCACGGGAGACAATGCCAGAATGGCACAGTGTGCAAGCCCGGGTGGGACGGGCCTAAGCACGGCATCACCAACTTCGACAACTTTGCCTTCGCCATGCTCACCGTGTTCCAGTGCATCACCATGGAGGGCTGGACCGACGTGCTGTACTGGGTGTGTAACTTGGGTGGCCCTCAGGGCAGGGCATGGAGGCTAAAGGCCTCTTCCTGAAAACCCCTTTTCCTCCACTGCATGATGTAGGAGGTCACACGCATCTCAAGGGAATGGTGGATGGATATCTGATTTCTCCCAGGTCTGGAGCAGGTCTACCCTAATGAGTCCCCACCCTACCCATAAGCCAAATGCCCTGTTTAGTTGATCTAACTGTAGTATACCACATGGGTGCACAGTGAGTGCCCTGTGAATGTGCTAGCCATGCCTGGTACGAGGATTTTCATCAACTCTTGTCCCACTTGAGAGTCCCTTTGGCCCATTCCTTTTTCCTACCTCCTTCCTAAAGAGAGAGCTACAGGGCCAGATGATGAATTCTTGGGGCTAAAGAGAAAATCAGTGCTGGTCTTCTAATCTAAAAAGAGCCTCTATAAAGAACCCATTTCTACTAAATTGTGTAGCATTGTGGCATGCTATTATATTTTTATTGCTCATATTAATCTTATCTTAACAATAGAATGGTCCATCAGACAAGTGTATTGTCATTGTTTTCCCTGTTAACAAAACACTTGACTGGTTAAGTGATGCATACTTAGAAAATGCACCTTTTGAGTGCCAACTCACCCATAGTATATTTTCTTTCACGTTTAAAATACTCCTCTTATTTTCCAGCAGCAGTCACTACTTTGCAGACCTCTGAGCCCTCACAGTGCCAAATTCGCAAATGCACACATCGTATTTGAGCATTCTACATTCTGGCAGACTCAGGTCCATAATTTGTAAAGTCTCCAGAAAAATATACTCTTTGTTGTGTCTCTATTTCAGCATGAGAAGTGACTTGCCAGAATTCAGTGCTGTTCTCCAGAATTTGGGTATATAAAGCACATTGCCAATCTTGAAAATACCATCTTTCCCAGAGTTCTCCAAATAGTTAAATCTATTTGGCCATTGTGAAAACAACCCAAGAGGCAGTTTAGAGAACACAGTCTACAGACTCGCACTGGGAAGAGTTGCGGGAAGCGAATGCCTCCTGCCCAGCAGAGCTGCCAGATAGAGAAGAAATAGTGCCAAGAGAGGTGTTGACTTCCTCCGGAATCAGAAGGAAAAGTTTTGTAACAGTACAGAGGTGCGATGCACAGTATTATAGGTTCTAAAAAATTTTTATAAACACTACGTCCTAATGATTTAAAACTTATCTTTGCCCAGTTTTTACATGATAATCAACATGCCAAAGCCCAGCATTGCTCTGAACTTTGTACCTCTCTGTAGATGACTTGCTTGAAGGTTGTCTGGATACTTTGTACCCAACAAACATTTATTTCAGGTTCCTGCATATCATGGGTGCTCCTAGGCACTGAGGATTCAGTTGAAACAGGGGTCAGTTCAGCCTAAGAAGCTCAGTCTAGAAAGCAAACTAAGTTCTAGGGTGAGTAATGGTGTACCTGGGAGCCATGCCACAGCAGAGTTGCTCGAATAGGCACTCTCAAGAGAGACAACTGACTCTGCCTCAGAGTAAAATGAAACATTGGGATGTTTCTTATGCTCGGTAAGAACTTGGTTTTGTGTAATTTGTAAGACAAAGAGAAGATCTGAATGTTAAATTACACTTAGGCAAATTTATCTACTTAATGAGGAAGATCAAATTCCCAAAGACCTTACCTGATCTTTCTACCTTGAGTGAGCTCCTGTGGTCAGCCAAAGACAGAAGCATCTCTCTGCAAATAGCAAGTTTCTGCCGAGGGCCACAGTCTCTATGACTGCATTGAGCTCTGGAGCTTGATAACATGCGCTCCAAACCCATGCCTTCAGTTGCTATGGAGAAGCCTACCATGGCATCAAACCGAGGGTAGGGTTGCAGGGGACGGGTAGGTGTCGGTAGGGTGGAACACATATAATTTACTTTGCTTATGGCCCTGATGTATTTTTGTGATCTTCCTTTATTACTCCCTTCCTCTCCCTCACCAAAAGTCATTGATACCCCACCAGCCAGATGTGACCCAAAGAAATAACTGTCATTGTGACAGCCAGCGCGGGGACTGGGAAGAAACACACACTGCAACTAACAATTTTCAGCAGCTGTGTTGTGCTTTGTCCCCTGGTGGAAGGGGGTGATACAGCCTATGCTGGGAATGGAAAAACTGTCAGAGGTGAAGGAATGATCCCAAGCCTGTGGGATGTGCCTCACTCTGATTTCCCCAGCACTTTTCTCAAATGGCATGTGATGTGTGTGTGTGTGTGTGTGTGTGTGTGTGTGTGTGTGTGTGCACGCACAGCAATACACACATGCACATACACACTGAAAACTGAGATAGAGCTTCTTGCTTTGTCCTTCATGGTAGAAGCACCTTCCAGCCCAATGCTCCTGCCATCAGACAAGTTCTCTAATTGCTTTGCCCTTTCTGTGACCGTTTCTGCCCTTCTTCCTTCCTCCTCCTTCCTTTCTTTCCTGTCAGTATTCCTCCTTCCGGCCTCTAGGCCTCTATCTCTAACCCACAGACTCTCACAACTCAGCATATTGTAATATCATTTAATATACAAATACTCCAACTTGCCACCAAGCCATGAGTTAGAAGTTCCTACATCAAGACCTCAGTATATGCATTATGGAAAAGGTCTCAGGTCATCCTGATGCCTACACGGGAGGGCAAAAAGCCTTAGAAACCTAACCTACTGAATCTACATAGTGCTGCTATGGTGCATTAGATTTACCAGTCTAAGCTGATAGTTTCCATGGGGAAAGGGGAACTAGTGTCTTCCACTCTGAAGAATGTATTTCCCTTCAAGTCCAAAACACAAATTTTGAGGACCGGAGAAGGAGCAGTTCAGTTTTCAAGGACAGTGACAAATAAAAGCTTCAGTGCTGGGCTTCTTCTGAACTACAGAACACCTGGGTACAAGTCTGCGGGGAAGAGAGCATGTCATTAAAGCATTAAAGGAGCAGTTAACTCAGTCACCAGGTACAGCCTGGGGTAGACAGGAACACGGAAGTGACCATTGACACATGGCAGCCCCTGCCTCCCATTGGGATGGTCTCAAGCCTGGCATTCATTGTTGTATTTCATTCTTATGAGTTTGACAGTGAATGAATTAAAAATAAAACCAAATTTGGTCACGCAGTACTTGAACAGTGCTCCCCCCCCCCGCACTGAGTGATGTCCCCACGGGCTGAACAATATGCTTTCAACCCTTCTTTTACCTATGCCCTTTTCCCAGAGGCTGCAGATTAGTAAGAACTTGGTTCAGTGAGAGTTCAGTAAGACTTGGTGGCTCTCCCTGACGCCACCTACTGCCCCTACCTGGGTTTCTCCACAATCTTTACTTCTACTGATCTTTTACAAATTAAAAGCTGAGCTCAAATACAAGCTTAGAAAGAATACTTAAGGAGAAATGACAAACGAGAAAAATTAAAATCACAAATAACGCCACCTATGCTACCTGGAATCTGTAATACCTGGTCAGCCAGCCAGGGACAGTATGAACCAAAGTCTAAACATTTAAAAATTTGATACACTGTAAGCTCCATAAGTCAACCTTGGTACATGTGCAGAGAAGATATTCCTGCAGAGTTCACACACACACACACACACACACACTCACACAACTCACATACTGCTAATTTCCTCAATTATAACAAGTCTTTTGCATACCAAAAGGATGGATTTGGACATTATAACCATATTTTTTCCACTCCACTTTGCTTTCAAAAAGCCACGTTATTCTACTATATAATATAGAACCAGAATCAAGGCAGCAAAAAGTAGAAGCAAAGGAGCCCAGCTCTACTGATGACTGAACAGTTATCCTAAAGCAAGAACTGAAAGCAAAATCCTCACATTACCCAGAATTCACTTGAAGAGGGTCAGAAGGACAGTTTAGTGCCTCCTTAAGGGGCTGGCCCTCAATTTATAAGCTGCCTCTGTCCATCACTCACTTAGACTGGGTTTCTCCACAATCCACCCTGTTTAAAATAGTGTCCATGAGCTAAACCATCAGCTGGAAGTTTATTAAACACAGCAAGGAAGAGTTTAGCAGGCCTTCATTCATTAATTTCTTTGGTTCTACTTCATTAGATAAGTGCTTCTATTCAATAATTCAATTTAATGTACATTTGCTGAGCATTTGCTATGTTCCCAGGCTTAGCAGCATGGGGTAAAATGGGGGCCAGAAAGGAAGGCATTCCCTCCAGGATCAGGACCTAACCAGAGAGGTACAGGGATCAGTTATACAGAGCCAGAAGAGCTGTTCAGAACACAGACCAGCAGGGTAGGCCACAAGGAGTGGGATTTTGCTGGCCGTGAACTAGACAAAGAGTCCAAGACCAGGCACCTGTGTTTAAGGAAAGCTACTTTATAGAATCATTCGGGATACCAGAATAACTTGGGTTTTTGATTCCCTCAAGAGACAGCCGGATGACCCTGAAGTGTTCTGACCCACAGGGTCTGAAGGCCACTATCATGCAGCAACAGGCATCAGACTGGACCCCATTCACTTCTGCCACCCACTCTGACTGGGAGCCAGCACATGGGACGGACCCCTGCACATATGCCTAGGGTCCGTCCCTCCTTTCCAACTGCTAGCCTCCACATGATGTCGGTGCATGGTCCCATCCGGCTTCAGGGGCGTTTTAGCGCACAGAGGAGTTGGAAGGTTGGCTTGCTTTTGTGCTTTGAGACACTCATGAGTCTCTGGTGAACCACCCTGGACAAGTGCAGGGGTAGAAGAGAGTCAGCTGAGACTGTTTTCTTACTTGCTGCTCACTCAGTGACCCAGAGGTGAACATTCGTGTCCTAACAAGCAAGGTGACACAGGTCACAAAGTCACCAACGCATCAAGCCCCTGATCTGGGCTGACTTACTGACTGATTTACTGGGGGCAGATCGTGTCCTCTAATGAGCCTCTGTGGAAAGCCCTGTCACTTTTATGGGCTTATACATCCTGCCTTTGTTGGCAAACGGCCCATCAGCACCTATGCAGCTACGTAGCCTTTCTGGATGCCCAGTGTTCGTACCACAGAAGCCACGTATGTGAAAACATGAGGAAAGGGGATCGAAGCAGGCCTTTGAGGATAAGCAGGGAGGTGTCACTCCTCTTTTCTTTTTGGGGAAAAATGAGTGGTGAATTTGACAATTTAAGGCATAAGTCTCCTTCAAGGAATGAGACTCTAGCTTCAGAGGGATTTTTCTTTCACTGCTGTCTTTGTGTCCCAGATTCCTGGACTAGGAAGCTGTGTGTCATCAAAGGCAGGGGTCATCTTGTTAGGTCCTGGGCCAGGCCCTGGTGGCTGCAGAGAGTGGCTCCGGGCCTTCCTTAGGGAGGCCACATAGCTTCCTTCCGTCTAGCTTCATGGTCTGAGAAGACTTACCTTTTTTCCACCTCTGAATAAGGGTGTCAGCAGTCTGATTCATTTTTAAGATATGATTTTTATTCTTCCTCTTTTTAATAGCTTCATTTCAGCTGATTTAAGTCATCGGTCTCATCTCTCCAGGCGTCACCCTACTTCAGAGCCACCCAGCACTGTGTGCTCTCTACCCAGTCTGCCCCAGAAATAGACAGCCCAGAGCAAAGAGGGAAAAAAGGGGGAACCTGACCTTCAGACCTGAGCCAGGCAGATGAGAGCGTCACCTCGGGGGTTGCTGAGCACTGCTCACGAGGCAGAAGCAGCATAAGGACCACCTTGGAAGCTCCTTAATCTCTTATCTGTCCATCCTCCCATCCCTCATCTGCTGTTCCCTACCTTGAATCTCTAAAATTACTAGCCTGTAACCAAGAAAGGGACCAAAGCAGAAATGTAGAGCAACAGGAAAGCAAAAACCATTTTTTTCTCTACGTGGTCTGCTTGTCCATAGGACAGTGACCTTCTCATGTGTAACTCCTTCCACTTGAGGTCTGTAGTGATGCTGAAGCCACCTGTCTTTGTGTGGCACAGAGGAAAAGAAGCCTGAGTTAATCAAGGGCCTAAGGGAGTCACCAGAGCTCCTGGGTTTGTGTGGCCAGGAGGGCTGTGGTTTTACATGTTCACCAGGTTTAGGAACCAGCATGGGAAGGTTCCATTCCAGGGAGGCTGGAGCCCCAAGCAGCCTTCACTCCCACTTGCCATCTGCCCTGGCTCTGGGAGCAGCGCTGCCAGGGTGACCAGGTATACCTGGGCCTGGCTCTTCCACCTGTCCTGCCAAAAAGATCTGTGATCCAGGAACAGAGGAGGGAACATGCCTGGAACAGACTTCCGCTGCTGCCAAAGATCCCCTTGCCTACATGTAGGGAGAGCTCTCCTGAGGATTTTGTGTAGAACAAACACCAATTGGTGACCAGAGCAGGCCAGTAACACAGGGTCCAGGTATGGACATCAGTTAGCCCATGCAGTTTGGGCTTATATACTGAAAGTGATGTGAATGTCCATGTGTCTGGTGAGTCTGCAGTGTTCATGTGCTTTTTCTGACCACTGATCATCACCAAAAAAAAGAAGCAGTCATTTAGAAGGAAAGGAGAGGATCACTTGTACCCCTTATTAGCAGGATGTCATCTAGAGAGGAAATGCTAAAAGAACACACATGACCTGGCTCCAGGTTTCCACAGAAACCCTTCATTAGCAGATACCTGGGACCCTACCTCAGGGCTGTTTTTCTCTGTTTTCCATTGCATTTGGTGTAACACAGAGTCAGCACAAAACCAGCGTCTCACATGTTAAAGGTGCTCCATAAACACTTGGTAGACAAAGATAGATTCTAACATGACCAGTACTGAGAGGAAGCAAGGAGTCACCTTACGGTCCTCGTGGTTCTGTGAGGCATGCAGACCATCAGGGCTGTGCCACACAGTCCCCTGTCCCCTCTCTAGCCTCACATCACCAAACCTGCTCCCCCGGCTTGCCTTGGTGTGGTTTTGTGTTCCTTGTCCAGGTGGTGAAGATTTACTGAATGTCCCCTGCTGGTCTGCTTTCCTTTACTGTCTTGGTTCCAGTAGTTCCTCTGGCTGAAGGAAAGCGTCCAGGCTTCCTGTGGTGGGGACAGTGTCCCACATTAAGGCCCCGCCTTGCCTAGCAGCTGCTGTTCGCTGGATATTTTAGTAGTTCCACCACTGAGAAAATCCTCCATCCCACAGTCAGGAAGGCTTTACAGCTGGATGCTCTATTTTTAACAACGGCCAAGTTCCTAGGAAACCCCTGGTCCCCTCCCGGGCTCTCACGGGCTCTGGGTGCAGTGACTGCATGTGAAGCTCACGGGATCCTCCTGATCTGCCCTGGCTCGCTCAGCCTCGGGCAGTCACTTTCCGACTTCCTCCTCCAACTGCATTTGCTGCCTTGTCTTTATACTTGCTCTTTCCATTCGCTGCTGCCAGCAAGGGCTTCTTGTATGCAGCACGGCACATTTTAAATTCACTCACTCTAGTTTACTGCCTACCTGCCCCATGCAAGGCACTGTTGAGGTTTGTGGGACTCCCCAGAGAACAAAACAGAGAAAAGCCACCTGTCCTGGAGCAGCTTACCTTCTGGTGTAGAAGGCAAACAGTGAATAATTAATGTAATGAAAAACTGAATTACACAGTTATAAAATGAAACATGCTCTGAGGGAGTAGGACGGAGTGTGTGGAATGACAGTGCCCGATAAATTCACACTGAATTGTGACATGCTTAAGGAGACACATGTTAGGAACCCTTCTCTTCCTCACTCGGTCCAGATCAGTGATCAGCAGGCACAATGTTTGCACTATGCACTCTGACTACATTTGGTAGAATTCTCCAACCAAAACACAGTGATAACAGTCATGTATTAATGGATCTGTAAGGAACATATTGGGAGGTAACACTTCAATCAGACGAGGTGGGGCTCTCACTACTTCTCAGTCTTTTTTATTACAGCACACAAAAGAACATTATGTTTATCAGCCCACTTCAGTTAACAGATAAAGTTGTTCAGATTGTGAAAGTCCTGAGGGCTGAGGACCTTAGTATCCCAGCACACTTGTAACTCCTTTGAGGCATATGGAGTAGAAATCTCAACAGTGGTTATCAAACTTAGTACACCTTAGAATCACTTGGGGTGATTATAGCACAGATTTATGAGCCAAAATAGATATGTGGGGATACAGGGCCCAGGAATCTGCTTTGTCAATTCTGCAAACAATACTGGTACCAAGGATCTTGAGACCTCATTTTGAACTACACTGTGGTACTCAAGATTGTAGCATGGTGGCCATGATGTGGTGAATTACAGTTTGAAAAGACTGGTGTAGATCAGTGGTCTTACACTTCAGTGTACAGTGGAGTCACTCGTGGGGCTTTTGAAAACCCCAGTTCCAGGTGGGACCAGAATATGCACATTTCTACCAAGGTCCTGAAGCTGCTGATGCTGCTGTCTGTGCATGGGGCTATCCTTGGAGGACCATTGATGTAAATCATCCAGGAAGCTTGATTCTTAGAAATTTAGGTTTTATAAACTAACTTCACAAAGACACTGCTGGGCTCATTTCCTAGAACACTTGGATTAAACGATACTTAGTCTACTCAGAAACTTAGTGTAACAGAAGAAATACCTTTGAGAAACAAAATCAGAATAAATTTTCTCTGTGGGAGAAACCCTGCTGTGCAGCGTGCCTTTGCCCATTTCTATGGTGTAAATACTTCCACCATGACCAAGTCAGAGGAACATGATGTTGGAAAGAGTTGGGAGGAGACACAGCAAGCCCTCTGCAGTCCATACGAGTCAGCTCAGGCACATCACTGCCGCAAACCTCTGGGGGTTTGTGCTACCCTGGAGCTTCTCCATCGTCCTGTGAGTTATAGGGCCCCATTTCAAGTTAAGAGCCGGTTCCATGGAGGCTGTGATGATAGGGACAGGTCCCTCTGTGCAAATACATAAACCACCAGAGCTGCCTTCCCACGTATGGCCAGTAGAGCACGCCAGGCACTGAGGCTCAGCTTCCAGATCCTGGGCGTGGCCCAGGTGGCATGGTAGGAAGACCTCCTTTCTCAAACATCCTGTAAAGCTTCGGTCTCCAGCTCTGTCAGTCAAAGCTGACCAGCTCCAGATACCGAGGGCACCGTGCCTCTGGGTACAGTGGAAGATGTATGCTACCTACACCCATGGGATCTAATCCCATCCAGCCTGAAAGAATTGTTTCCTAGGTGACCCACCTTCTTAGACAAGTGAACACAAAACAGGGGAGAAATTTTTCTTTTCTGGAACATAAAACAACAGAGAGCCAGCAAGATTCCTCCTGAGACAGCTGACACAGGCCCTGCCCAGCCGGATCACAGTGACAGGAATGACTCTGAATAGAGATCATGCCCACGGCAGTGATGGACTCTAATCCACCTAAATGAAAGCTGAGGTCAGCCCAGTTTTTCTGCTGCAGCTCTGTCCACACCTTTCCACCTCCTTCTTTACTGTAATTCAATTCTGCTTTCTTTCCTTCCTAACTTTCCTTCATCTTTCCAGATGCAGGACGCTATGGGCTATGAGTTACCCTGGGTGTATTTTGTCAGTCTGGTCATCTTTGGATCCTTTTTCGTTCTAAATCTGGTTCTCGGTGTGTTGAGCGGGTAAGCTGACTGTTTCTACATGCTCTTTACAGTGCAGCTGAGCAAGGTCCCGGGCCCCATTTGAGCAACCCAAGATCCTCAGGGCCAGGACCTAACGGGCCCAGAAAAACCAAAGATAAAGTCTCCATTCAACCCAAATTCTGGCCCATTGGCTGGGCAGGCTATTTGGCCTCTGATTTGCACCCTGAGGATCCCCGGTCCCAGTGCTACTTGGTCAGCAGCTGGAGAGCCGGCGATGGGCGCTCGGCCCTGCTCGGTTGCTGTGTGTGCCTCACTAACTATCATTCCATTCTTCCAGGTCAATGATGCCGTAGGAAGGGACTGGCCCTGGATCTATTTTGTTACACTAATCATCATAGGGTCATTTTTTGTACTTAACTTGGTTCTCGGTGTTCTTAGCGGGTAAGCAGGACCAAGGAAAAAGGTCTTGATTTTTCCATTTATTTTTATTTATTCTTTCTGCTACTCCTGGCTCTGTTCTTTTTCTGGCTCTGATGAACCTGGGATAAGGGGTCACCTTGGGAGCCTTAAAGTGAATGTCCATGGCCTGGCTGGGAAAAGGGTTAATGCACCAGATCACTGGTAGACGATGGAGAAGAGATGCCCACTCCTGCCTTTCTCCTGTGGATTCCTCCGATCCTCAGCGCCAAGGAGCTGCACAATTAGGCAAGGTCCTTCTTTTGTATCTTATTGACAAGAGCAGCAAGGTGAGACTTTGAGTAGGAAATCTTGGCAGCAAAAATCTGAGGGAGGATTCATATACCGTGTGCTGTAAACAGACACAGTTGCCTTGTAGATAAGTACTTGCCTGATCTCGAACCAGTTTCTATTTGCAGGCTGGTAGAAAAGATATCAGACCACCTTTATTCAGTGGCAAGGATGGCAGCGTAAGAAGGGTTGGTATATTTGGGGTGTAGCTCCATAGTAGAGCATTCCCCTTGCGTGCACAGAGCCCCAAGTTTGATCTCCAGCACTGAGAGGAAAAGAATATATAGACATAGTGATATAAACAAGTGTAGACTAAAAGTCTAATTCTCTTCATTTTTAATTCCTAGGCTGAGCAATCCATCACTAGCATTTCCTTTACTTAATGGAAAGGACTCTTAACCATTTCAAAGCAGAGGGTATTTGGGAATAGAGGAGATAAAATTTGCTTTCCTTTAAATTTATCTAGTTGGCTACAAGTACAAAATTTGTCTGATTTCTGCCATTGTGCAATGGAATTAAAAGTGATGGAATGGCATGTAGCTGGGGCACCAAGTGGCTCTGAGTACAGCTACCTTTCCACCATGGGGACTCAGGGTGCGTCCTTACCCCATTTTCTTCTTCGTCAACCCACAGCAGCCATGCCAAGGCCTGACACCTAAATGCTCCTGGTGACTCACTCACGGCTGCCCCATCTTCTGCCTTTGCTACCTGGTGGTTGGTGGGGGAGGGTTCTTCTTCCTGCTCTGCTTGGAATAGGCCACCTGCTTTGAGAGTCTTTCCTAGGCCTGTGAGCACATTAACACTGGAGGATGTCCAGGCATGAGGAGCGCGGGTCCTGATAGTTTCCATTCAGTGCCTACACTGGGCAGAGCCGCTCCCACCCCTTGTGGCAGCTGGGTGCAAGGCAGTGTGCAGGGTTCCCTGTGGGAATCAGGTGAAGGGAAGAGTCTGCCCTTCCTCCTCCTTTCCCCAGCTCATGGCACATCAGAGCCCTAGATGGCACTGTACTTTTTCCCAGAACAAAGCCACTCAGGACCATGCTTTTTCTCAGGCATAAAAAGTGATAAAATAATAGAAGACCCTGACTGAGAAGGTTAGAAGGATTTTCTTTTTTGTGTTCCAACACAAGAAAATGGCCCTGTGTTTATTTATGGATCTCCAAGGACAGAACTGGAGGGAAAAAATCAAGCTTATTTTCACAATTAGAGACAAAAATTTTGAAGACTCCAACCTCCAGCTCTGCTCTTGCTGGACCCATTATGTGGGTCAACTTCACTATATTTTTTCCCCTGTGGGGTTTTTGTGTGTGTGTGTGTGTGTGTGTGTGACAATTTTTTGCTATGTTGTCCATGCTGGCCTTGAATTTGCAATCCTCCTGCCTCAGCCTCCCAAATGCTGACGTTACAGGATGATTGGCTATAACTTCACCTTTAAACTTTAGTGTCCCATCTGACAAAATGAAAATGGTAACACCAATTCCTAGGTAACTGTGATAGCAGAATGTGATCCTTCATATTAAATACTTAGCATAGTGACTGACATGCAGGAAGCACTCAGTAATGGTGCAGTCACTGCCGTGATTAGTATTTGCCTGGCACCTGTCAGGTTGTCATGACTGAATACAATCATCAATGCTTTAAAAGACAAGCAGTGTGAGGCCAGAGATGTCCAGTGACTTTGCTGACAAACAGCCAAGCAGAAGCAGAATTCAGGGGCAGCCTTGACTGCCCTCTTCCCAGCACTGCCTGCAGACGGTGTCGAGTAAGCGTGGGCAGCAACACAGGGACCTTTTCACCTTTAAACACGGAGTTCCATTTTCTTCTCCAGAAATTACGAATCAAATAGGAGCAAGTAAGATTCTTCTGGGAGTCTGACATGGAGAATGAGGGCAAGCCCAAGGCCCCTCCACGAGCAGAACACCTGTCCACAGCTGTTCTCGCGCCCACTCAGAGGAGTGGCCTTTCTGTCAAAGCACAGAAATCAGAGACAGCAGCTGCTGATGGGAGAGAAAAAGAATTTTGAAGCCGTGTCTTGGTCTTGCTCAGTCCAAGTGAGATCAAATATGTAAAAATACCTCATTCAATACCTTAGTAGTTGTCAAAAATGTTGAATGTTTTGCTTTTGCTATTTTGTGGTACTGGAGAATGAACCCAGAACCTTTATACTGAGCTATATCCCCAACCCTCTTGTTTCAATTTTGAGACAGGGTCTCACTAAGTTGCTCAGTTCCCCAGGCTGAGCTCAAACTTGTGATCCTCCTGCCTCAGCCTCCCATGTGCCACCAAAAGTTTCAAAAATGTTAGTTGGTACAGAAGAGAAACATTAAGGTTCTTTGATCTTTGAAATGGTGAACCTTTGAATCCATACAATAGGTTATATTTTTGTTTTTTTGTCTTTTTCCTTTTTATCGGTATCGGGGATCGAACTCATGACTGCCTGCTTGCAAGGCAGGCGCTTACGCTGCTGAGCTTTAGCTCAGCCCCCTTTTTTTTCTTTTTTTCTGGAGCCCAACCCAGTAGCTGTTGGACCATTCCCAGAACACCTCTTTGCTCCCAGCAACTCCAGAATCACTCTTAGATCTTCTGCCCAAGCTAAGAGGTGTCTGTGGGCAAATGTCTGTCCTTTCTGGCTTAGGGAGGCCTCTCATAGTTTGCCAAGGGCTGGCCACTCTGGGTGCAAAACACAGCTGTACACATGCTCCTGTTGGCCAGCCATATAGCGACAGTGGCTTCCGATAGGAAGCTTGATTGCTCAGGACATCCTTGATTGGGACATCGCCCCAAGAATGTAGCAAAACATCCACTTATCTGTCAGTCAGACTTCTGATTAAGCCAACTTTCCAGAAGTACTCAAAAGTGTTTCAGAGCCCCCTGAGACTCACCGGCAGTAGGACAGCATAAACAGTTGCTACCAATCTGTGCCAACCTCGGTGCTCGGCATTTCAGCAGATTGGTTAACTTAATACACATTACAACTCTGTACCAAGCAGTGGGAACCCATAGCCTTTGCCCCTAATCTTCGTGGTCTACTCACCCATCTGACTGGTTGATGCCATGTTTGTAAATTACATGCAAGAAATGAAAGGTGAAGGATAGAAGTCAAAGTTAAGGGCAAAGGGCAAGACAGGCAGCAGAAGCAACCCATGGACAGAGAATCCCAGAAAGAAGCCACATAGACACCCCTGGGAGCCTCAGTGGTAGGTATAGGCTCATCAGCACAGAGGCCAGCAGCCCTGCGCCTCTTTCTGGTCTTGAGAACCAGGACCAGCCCAGAAGCACTGCAGGCTGGGGCATTTGCGCAGCGGGGAGGCAGGTTAGAACCGTACATCCAACAGTTAAGGATGATACTGTGTTATAGCCCAGTACACAAACCCATCCTCGTCAATTGGATAAGCAGTCCTTAAGCAAAGGTTAAATTGTGCTTGACATGTTCTTCTCTTGAAGGCAGAGAACAACATTTCCATACAGGTGCATTAACAAGGTAGAAATTCAACGACTTTGATCACCAGAGGGTTAGGTGTCCCATCGTTCATCTGGAACATTCCTGTACCCAGAGCATCTACTTCTGAAGGCCAGAGAGAGTCCATGAGAAGAGCATACAACTCTTGGGTATTTTCAAAATGTTTCCATGCCATGCTGTGAATCCTCACATCAACCATGTGCAGGTTGTGAGCTGGCATCTGTATGGATAATAATCAGATTACAATCACTTTTCCCTCCAGAAGTCTCAATTTCTAGCCTCTTCTGTTTAAAATAACAACAAGGACAGTGAGAGTCCTGTAGTTCCACATAAAGTCATAATCAGGTAGAAGTTTGCACTCTGGGATCCAGTTACTTTTGTTTTTTAATGATTACAGACAGGGAACCTGAGACATGGCCCTTTGGTTGAGAGGAGGCCTAGGATCTCCCACATGAGAACAGTCCACCCTGTTTCCCACTGGGCAATGGGGTCCCAAAAAGCAGGGGACTTGATGAGTAAGCATTTACAACTGGACCGAGGCACCACAGTCCAGACAATAAATATCCCAGCGAGCAGGATCCAAGGCCAGGCACACATGACCTGCTGAGGGGTGGCAGCGCATGCAGCCAGTTTCCATTTGTCACAGCACTTGTGTCCTTTAAAGTTGCTGTGGACACTGAATTAGCAACTACCAACTCACTGATCTAGAGGAAACAGGACTAGGTTCCTGCCAGACTCTGGTCTCAGCTAACCATTACATAACTTGGTTTTATAGGTGTTTCTGTTTAAAACACCTTACCTAGTAAGGTTTTCTGTTTAAAACACCTTACCTGTCATGGGTTCACTGACACTGAACTGGTGGCCAACAGCGCTGTAATGTACGAAGGAATGAAGCCTGTGTGACATATATACTCCTCTGTAAGGCACATCACACACTTTTGCCCTTGGGAACACTAGACAGCATTTTATAACTATGTTTAGGGACAACCCTAAACAGCAAAAAGTGCAAAAATGTGGCATTACATAGACTATGAAAAGGACACTTGTTTACATTATGAGAGCTGAAATCAATAAAGCAGAGTGTCACCTTGTTTGACCTCAGTTGGTAACATGTTTTTTAAATCATTCTGTGCGTGTCCACAAATAACTGTGAAAGTGCCATGAGTATTGATTTGGGGCTTTCAAATAAATTTTGGAATAGACAAATTTATAAGTATAGGAGCCACAAATGATGGAGATCACTTGTTTTACGAGAGGGGCTAGAGCCTCAGTGGTTGGTGTTGACCAGATTTTCCAGTTTCCTCCTGGTGCATGCTTTAGGTGACAGTGCACCAGCCCTCAGCCCTGCACGCCGCCTCTCATTTTTCACACTGGCCATTGCTGATGAGAGATATGTGCCTGCTTTATGACAAATCCCTCAGCAGTGACTGATTGTCTCGCCAGCTCAGTCTCTGTGCCCAGCACAGCCCTTTGGGCTGGAGCTTCACATCTTCATCAGTGCAGTCCCTAGAGCAGACCATGGCTAGCATCCAGGGAAGAAGATAAAGACAGCCATGCACTCCCACCCAGCATATCCCTTGCTGCGTGGGGCTCTATGGGAGAAACCTTAGCAAACTTCTGTTAGCCACAGCCTGGTTATGCCCTCTGCTCAACAGGAGCCCCGTGCCATGACACTGCTATACCACCTCTCCAGCCCTCTTTGTCCCCCAGTCACATCTCTCCTCTACAGGACAAAATACAGAAAGGACAGTCAGAGTCATCCACGCCCTTCATCTTTCTTTCTATGAGTGTTCATTTTAGTTCCCCTGGGGTACAAAAGGTAAGCTTTCCATCTGCAAGGCACATGCTATAGAGCAGGACTGGCCCAACTAGATTCCTGACCTGTTCTCCCAATTTCCAAAAAGAGAATAGGTAGATGCTTCATAATCAGAACTTAAACCATGTGGAAAATCATCCAAAAAAGCTAAAGTGAACCCTTAGCAATTCATTTCCTTACAACCTCAAACCCACTCCAGGGACAAGAACAGAAAACACAAATAGATGTGGGCAAGAAGACAGTCAGAGGGGTCTGGAAGGCAGCTTTTAGAGTTGCTTTGATTCAGGAGGGAAATGCTGTCAAAATTTCTGTTCCCATACAGCAAGACCAAGGCCATAAGGTTCAGGAGAAGGAGGAGCTGGTATCTGTCCATGCCCACTCCCCGGCAGCAAAATCGGGACGGGAGTGAAGCAAGGAAGCTTCCCAACTACATTGTGAGCTGTCAATCTGGCCTCTTTTCCCTGGCGTAAAAGTCCCTGGGAAGGAAATGAAGGTACCCGCTGGTTGGCATAAAGCCCAAGAAATAGCAAGTTCAATCCAATTAGAATTGGATTCAATCAAATTTAAGAAGCAAAGTCAATCTAAACCAGAGCATCATTAAGGCAGCAGTTGAAGAGAACACATTAGCTTGAGAGCCTCCACATTCTCCCAGTTACAAATTCCCTAGACTCCTCCCCAGCTCTATCCTATTTCAACATAACAGTGAAGAGCATTAAAATCTGCTCTCCTAAGCTATATGGGCAAATGCAGATACATGGTGATAGCATCACTCCTACATGACGGTGGATTTAAGAGCTAAGTATTTTGTACCACACTCCTGCCCCAGGACACAAAGGTTTGTGGGTACCAGCCTTCCTTCCAAAGAGCTTTTCTATAAAGTTCTTGGCTTGGACAAAAAACTTCAGAAGGTCATTTTAACAACTCCTTGTCCTGCATCAGGCTCCTACTAATGAGAGGAAGAATAATCATAGCCCAGGAAGACCCGGACACCCAATGAATAGGCGGACACACGTGAACATGAACCACAAGGGCACATTTCCCATTGGATGCATATCCAAAGATAGAAAGAAAACAGTATAACAAAGAAAACAAGCAAAAACAGCTTATTTACCTATTTAGGAAAAAAAAAGACTTTAGCCTTGCTGGTCATGGCTTTCTACCACCAGCCCACTCCTTGTTCAGAAGGTGAAGTCAAAGTCAAGGGGAAAAGAGGCCCAAAGCACAGATGATAGCAAAGAAACAGGCGCTCCGTCAGAACTCTCAGCATCCTTCTGCCAGCAAATCCAGTTCAGTCCCAGGTGCTACTCATGATTACTTTAAACTGGATGCATCATTTAACTCTGATATTATCTTGGTTTTATATATTTTTCTATTCTGATTGGATTTTTTTAAAATAAAAGGGTAAGCCCCCAGGACATTTTCTTGTGTTTGGAAACTTTATTGGGCTCCATATGGGTAAGAGCCTTCCCTGGATTAGAAATTCTTCCAGGCATGCTAAGGATGGCAAGGTAAACTCCAGAATGAGAACAGAGATTGAGGAGATTAATTTTCTGGGTCCTAAATCAGTGATGTGCCGAGGAAAATCCTGATCCAGAGTATCTGCCAATTTCTGTGAAGTAAATATTCCCGACCTGGCAGATTTCACGCTACCAAAGAGACATCATGGAAGTGAAGCCGGAGTTGGCAAGAGACTTGGGTGATTGGCTTTCAAGACCTTGTGTGAGTGACGGCTCTGGCACAGTACTGGGCCTCACACCTGTGTCACCTGAAGGCTTGTGAGACTTGTTTCAGTTGCCACCCACTACTTGGTGGAATGGAAACACGTCTCAGAATGATCAGGAAGGGGTTTTAGTTATTGTTTAAAAAAGGTTTATCGGTCTTTGGAGAACAGTCATGGTTAAAAGGCAAAGCCTATGATCACGATTAGAAAAAAAGGAATTGGACTTTGCCCATCCCCTTAGACACCCATGCCTGTGTGGAGCACATCCCACTGAGAGACTCTTCCTTCGTGTGAGCCTTAGGATAAGACTGGGATGACTAGTGGAAACTCTCTGAGGGAAGGAGGGACACTTGCTCAGGGCTGGCAGTATGAAGCCTTTAATGCTCGCTTCATCTCCCCTAATCTCTGTCTCTCCTCCCATGCCCAACCCTTCCCTGTACTCTCCTGCCCTGCCCACTCCTCACTCCCTTCTCAGAGAGTTTTCCAAAGAGAGGGAGAAGGCCAAGGCTCGGGGAGATTTCCAAAAGCTCCGAGAGAAACAGCAGCTGGAAGAGGATCTCAAAGGCTACCTTGACTGGATCACCCAGGCAGAAGACATTGACCCCGAGAATGAGGATGAAGGCGTGGATGAGGAGAAGCCCCGAAACAGTGAGCAACCTTCTTCCATCTTTGGGCTGGGTTCTGGGTGTCGAGAGACAGAACCAGGTCAATTAGCTTCCTTCACAGCCCATAGATTGTCTTCCTGGAGCAACCTCTGTCTCACTGACTGCAATCATTTGCTACTAATAGGAATTAGTCACAGATGGGAAATAAGTGCTGCTAATCTATAAGCCCTCACATTTCTTTTAGAGCCTTTGACCTGAAAAGACATTTGGAAGTTTGCTAAGGTGAAACCTTTTTTAAATCAGGCATCCTCCTCATCCAGGTTTCCTGCTCTAGGCCTGTTCCAAAGGAACAGTTTCCACCATGCAGCTACCTGGGATTTTGGAATCTTCCTCTCTTTGCAGTGGACTTTCGGGCATCACTGAGCTTTCCCACAGGAAAGGGTTAAAAGTTTCTCTTAAGTAGGTTACATTGAAGGAGCCAGGAAGTGCTAAATGCGAAGGATGGGAGAAACCCGGAGGACTTGGATAGAATACAATTAGATTAGAGAAATTAAGCCACATTCCTCCCTCTGGGGCTTCACATGGTAGACTGATGGATAGGCTGTAACTGGGATAGAAATGAGAGCAACAGAGGCTATGCATCCACAGGCCTACTGAAGGTGATGAACCATGGAAATTCAGGCCCTTATCAGATTAGTCCAGTGGTGCTCCAGGTGGTCCCTGGGCAGGCACCCACAACAGCAGCACCTGGAAACTCTTGGAAAGTGAAACCACTGGGGCTTTGCCCAAAAGTGCTGACTCAGGTACTCAAGGGGTGGTGCCCCGCAGCTGTGGATTCAGAGGTCCCTAAGATGTAAAGTAAAGGTCAGAACCACTGGGTTAACTATAACTGCTCTCTGTTCCCTGTGACCTTGCTCTCTGTGACTCTGACCACACTTGACCTCCTCTTTCTGGGAGGGGCATCTCTTTTTGGCTACACATGTCTGAATAGGTATGTTTCTGGCTTCTTAGCAGCCTAGTTTAAAACATGGTCCTAAACACTGGGCATCTACAGTACTTAAGGAATCAAACAGGTTAGAGAGCCAAGCAAAACATTTGTGGCATGGAACTATACAAGGAAGAACAGGAAGCTAGAAATTTTCCCTGAGCAGAAAGGGACACAAGAAAAACATGCAAGAAAAGGAATAACCAAAGATGTTAACAGAACAGAATCTCTGTTCCCCATCATGGAATGATTTAATAAATCTGTCAACTACTCCCTTCTGATAACTCTGCTCAAGGTACAGATGCAAAATTAAAATATATAAACAACAAGGGAGCGATAACAACATAATTTAATAACCTAAGGAGGCCTTCATGCTCAACTAAGTAGTTTTGCAACTTGGAAGACGGGCCTTTGATGGATGATAGCAATGAGCAAAGATGCCACTGAGGGACTTTCTGGAAGAATGCCTGACAGCTTCCATTACTCTGTTGATGGAAATGTGCAGTAGTTGATTAGTTGGTGGTACCGAGTGGTATGGTAAGTAAATAAATTGGTCTGTGAGCCACAAGAAGCTTACTTCTAAAACACAGGAATTCATGTCTTGGTTTCTTATGTTACCTGCCTGCAGAGTAGAGCCCTTACTAGTCGTTAATAGTAATAAGCATTTTTCTGAGTGTGTGTTATTAAAAACGTGCAATACCCAGTACTTTCTGAGCAAGTAGTGGCCATCCACTGAGACATGTAGCTATTCTGTTCTCTGTATAAATCAAGAGCTTCCAGAGGGAAGCATGCTGCATGTCTGACTTGCCCACTGAATGCATAAATCCCAAGGAGAGTCTGAGCAGGGAGTATTCTTTGCCCCTGGAGGAGATCACACTGACAAGGCCTGTCTCCCCAAATTTCTGGCCAGGCTCCGAGAAGAGCATAATGAATGACCTGCCCCAGTGGACCGAGTCTCAGCCAAGATTTACATAAGCCCAAATATGGGTAAGACTGGACTTCAGAGGCCATTGTTCTTGTACCCTTGTACCACTTTCTGGTGGCAGAAGGAGCCTGTGGCCCCTGCCTCTTGTCCTTGGCCATCCTTGGCCTATGAGGACTGGCACCTTTGTGAGTAGAATTGCTGTTGGGACAGTTTCACAGGGTGGGGCAAGGGAATGAAGGTCTCCAAAAGCAAGGCTTGGAAAATCAAGTAGACTTGTGTGATGGAATGGAATGTGAGACTTGAGAAAAGAGCCAGAAAAAGAGTCCAAAAAAACTGTGTCTGCTGGGAAATCTAATTAAAAGTAAAGTTGATGTGATTTATTTATTAAGGTTGCAACCTTAATAGACTTACAAAAAAGGCAAATCTGTGGCTTCAAAACTACATTGTTATCTTTGGAACTTCATAGTTTTTGGAATAAATATGAAGGGAGAAATGCCACTACAAATTAGATGTGTGTCTTAATTACCGTAGTTTCTCAATCTTTGAAATTTTAAAATATGGCCAATTCTTTTCACTTTGAAAGCAAACTAGGTTTTTTGCTTGTTTGTTTGTTTGTTTTTAAGGAAAAAGATTTGATCACTTCACTGTACCTCTGGTGACTCTGCTTTTATCTGGGGCAGTGTCTCTATCAGCATACTCCAGATGCCACTGGTGTCATGCATGGGAGATAGAGCCAGCTGCATGCAGGGACAGATCAGTGACATTTCATTATGTGGTAGGTGTGCACTCTAAGTAGATCCAAGTTGCTCAGTTTTCCTAGGAAAAGCTATGAGGCCACTGAGGAAGTAGAAGTGGGTTGGAAGATAACGGAAAAGGAAGAGGCAATAGATAGATAGATGGCGTTTCTCTAAATAATTAGAAATGATGATGCCAGTATTCCACTCCATCCCTCCATGTACAAATTGAAGAGCTGCTCTCTGCTAGGCATTTTTCTAGGGATTTGTGATACAGTGACACACAAAGTAGTCAAAACCCCCTGCCCTATGGAATTTAAACTGTTGCAAGGACTCAGGTACTAAGCTAGCAACTCGTGTTTGAGAGCACTAAGTACCATGGAGAAAGTATAGTCTGCTCCAGCAGCTTGATGAAACTGCAGGAGGGGAACAGCAGCACTGAGAAAGTGTAGTGTCAGATGGAGCGGCTGGGGAGTTCCGTACTGAGAAGGCAGCCTTTGACTCAAGATGTGAAGGCAGCAAGGAAAGGGAGCATCCAGATAGCTGAGAGAAGAGCATCCCGGGCAGAGGGAAGGCCAAGGTAAAGGCCTCGGGGCAGTGGGGTGGCTGATGTGTCTGAGCACAGACACAGAGAGGCTGATATGATGGGACAGGAGGAAAAGCAGAAAAAAGGTCAGAGATGAGCTTTAAGGATACCCTGGAGAAGATCCTGAAACTCATGCTGGGAATTTGGACTGGAACAGGAAGTGAACCAAGTGGAGGTTCTGAATGGAAACGTGACACGGTTTGACGTGTAGCTAACAGGATCCCGCTGGCTGCCGCATGCTGGACGGAATGGAAGTGAGCCAGGGCAGGGCCTCCGTCAGAGGTTGCTGCCTTGGGCATCATTTTCACTTTGCTTTGGCAACTGCGGAGGTGATAAAGTCAGAGTTCAGGGTGACATCATTTGCCACTATATCAGCCATGGGATGTGAGAGAGAGAAGTCACAGATGGTTCAAAGCAATATAAGCATGGAATGCCCACTTGCTAACAAAAGAAAAACTTAGTCCAGTAGTTAAGAGAGTGAGGAAAGACATCTCAGACCTTTATGATTAAAATGCTTATGAGACCTGCAAGTGCAGGTGTTGAGTAGGCAGTGGAGAGTAAATCTGAGTGGAGGAGAGTGATCTGGAGACTAAATTTCCAACAACAGCCTGTAGGAGATATTTAAAATCATTTGTCTGGATAGGGTCACTAGAGAATGCGTGTACCCAGAGATGATGGGATGAGATGGGATGGGGTGGAATGGGATGGGATGGGATGGGATGGGATGGGATGAGATGGAGCAGCTGAGAGAAGACCCTTCTAGCGTATGGAAATTGTCATGATGAGGAAAAACCCAAAAGAAAGACAGAAAAGTATGACTGGAATGCTAGGAGAAAAGCAGAGGAAGGACTATGCGTGATACCGGGCTAAACAAGGTGAAGACTGGAAACTGATCACTGGACTTGGCAATGTGGGGCTCTCAGGGCCTTCACAAGAGCCATTTGGTGGGATGTTGGGGCAAAAGCATCAGGGTCTTGAGTTTATATTGCACCTAGGATGACATCAAGCATTGCTCTGTGGGTTCCCTAGTCACTTGGCATGGCCCAGCTGCTAGCCAGCTGAGGACCGAAGCCATCATGAGACTTGAGGACATGAGCCAGGGCAGGAGGAGACTCACATGGTCCAGCATGGCCAGGAGGTCAGTGGTCAGAGTCAGCCCTTCATTACATCCCCATCTGCAGCCATGTCAGGCCTGGGCCTTGCCACTGTGACTGTCAGTAGACAGCCTCTTAAAAAGCAGAGCAGGATATTCAGGGACCATTTCAGGGCCCAGAAGGCAAAAGAGTGCACTGTGGCCTTCTATACCACCATACGTGGAGCAGCCCATGGGCTCTGGCCTCTGAGTACTTCTTCTGTTGGAGGAAGACTAGAAAAGGGCTGGAGTCTCATCACTCTGGTCACTGCTTCCTCCTCTCCAGGCTGAAGTGAGCATCACTTTTGAAGGAATCAATTGCAAAACCATCCCAGTCGCCCAGAGTTCACTGTCATCTTGAGTCATACACCTCCAAGGGACAGGATCCATTTTCCTGCTCCAGTCAAATACAATAAAAGGCCAGGCACTAAAAGGAGAAGCTGTAGCGAGAGAGAGAGAGAGAGAGAGAGAGAGAGAGAGAGAGAGAGAGAGAGAGAGAAAGGAATTTCATCTTTCTTTTTACTGCTCACAAAGATCAAAAACTGAATTTATAAAATATCTATCCATATGGGAATTTCTTTCATGTCATTAAGATGATTTAAATGCAGTCTCAGCCTTCTAAAGCTTTCAGTCTAAGACAGACATTTATGGGGATGATCATACAAAAGACAGACAGACGGT